TACTTAACAACTGTATCACCAGGGCTCCTGGATTAATACCTACAAGCACTAAAGTATCATGTTTGAAATCAACATTCTACATAGTTAATCAGTTATACCTCACAAGGAAAAACATATTCACATTACTGTGGGCAAGAATCTCTCGGATTATAATCAGTCAGGGGATTTCCTGCACAGCCATTACTGCCTGTTTATCAGTGATGGCTTGTGTGTTGCCAGGGTGCAGAGCAAATTTCAGCCCAGCTCTCAGACTGAGGCGAACTAGGAAGAAAGGCCTGGCTATCTACTTCTGAAAATCAGCCAGTGAACTCCGTGGGTCCCAGTGGTGATGGTGCAGGATCCAGTGACACTTCATTCTGTTATGCTTGGGGGTCACTATGGCTCAGGGCTGACTCAACAGTAGCTAGGAACAACAAGGAATCAGTTAGCCCTAAAAGATCTGAAAGCCCCACATTCTATTGAAAGGTACTCAGTAATCTTCTGCTCATTTCTGAACCTTTCAGCACTTTTCCTGACAAGCTTAATTTATTCTAAGTCTGTAAGTGAGGCCGTTCTGAGGACAACAGATATGTCTGTGTAGCTTCATTGGCTCTGGGTAAGTGTTCCCCACTGGTGACAGTTATTACAATGGAGTCATTATAGGATGAGGTGGTGTTCATGAGTGAACATGTTATGAGACAATCACAATCAGGCAGCAGATGGCTCTGTGAGCTGTGCCGCACGGATAGAGGCCTTTGAACTTTAGGCTTGGCCGGGCCTGGTGGTGTGCAGATGGAGGCCCCAGCACTGCTGCCACAGAGACGCTGAGGAGTCGGTCCAGGTTTCCTTCTCAGCGGCAGAGCTGTCAGTCCCTAACATCAGAGCTGTCATTCCTTATCAACATCATCAATAAATCAAATTCTGAATGACCGGGGTTCTGTGGATTCAGCATTCATGTGTAATTTATTGTTTACAGAGTAATACTTGCAGTAGCAACATGAAAAGTGAGAAGCTAATTGAGGCCGAGCTGCAGCACCTTGAACACATGCTTCCCAGAAGTGCCACTGTAGAGTCTGTGTCCACCCCCAGGGCTGTCCCTAGGAGTGAGATAAACATCTTGTCCAGAAGACCGACCTTTGCTGACCAACCTAGTTTTCAAGGATTCCAGTAAAAATTTTTTCATCAATTCCAGAGCCGACACAAAGCACAGAGGGATTCAAATTTATTCCTGCTGTGGGCCAAATTAAAAAGCTGGGATATAAGAAGAAAGATGGAAGGTCTTTTTATCCCATGAACTGCCAAAAGAACAATCAAGTCTGTCTTGGAGGAAGTGTGACTAGGGAGGTCCTTAGAGTCAAGGATTGTGAACTTTGAAATTTTGTCTCACATAGTTTGGGCATGTTGTCAGGAGGACACTAGTCTCTGGAAAAGGACATCATGCTGGGAAAGGTGGAAGGTTAGGGAAAGGAAGGAAGGCGCTCAATGAGGTGGACCAACACAGTGAGTGTAACACTGGGCTTGGGCATTTAAGAGATGGTGCGGATGGCGCAGGAGAGAACTAGGTCCCAGGGTCACTGTGAGTCGTAGTTGACTTGATGGCACTTAACAGAAATAGCAACATATTATAATTCAGTGAATCAACTATACAAATCCTCAGTGGGGGAGGCTGCTCCCGAGAGCCATTCATGTGGAGATGAAGTAGTCCTGGCCCTGTTAAAGTCAGCATGGACTTACTATGTGATGTAACTCCTGAGACAGCACTTGTAAACCAAGCTTCCTTAGTGGAGGTAGAGGCCATGACCAGGTCACAGGTGGTCACAGCAAGCATCAGGATAACACATCTTAAAAGGGTGTGTTTGCCAGATATTAGGAAGGACATGGATTAATGTGAGAAGCTCTACAAAGGGCTGGATGATGCAAGACCCACAAATCAATTAGTACAATGACTAGCTGAGAGAATTGGGAGTTTTGGTCTTTCAGAGCATATAAAATTTAAATATTAATTTTTCTTTCACTATTTAATGGACAGTTTCTATGTAACAGCCCCTTAAACAGAAAGTTTCCTGGTTGTACCGTGGTTAAAGTACTACACTACTCTAATGGAAAGGTCTGTGTTCTAAGCCACCAGTTGCTCTGTGGAAGGATGACGTGGCACATCTGCTTCTGGAATGTTCTCTGCTCTGTCCTATTGGTTTTGTTATGAGCTGGAGTGGACTTGATGGGAACAGGTTTTTGGGTTTTATATGGACTAGACGGAGCCTCTGGGTGACACAGTGAGTGATACACTGGCAACTAACCAACAAGGTGGTGGTTTGAACCCACCAAGAGATGCCAGGGGATCAAAGCCCCTGGAAACCTGTGGAGTGAAGTTACCACAAGTCAGAGTCAACTCAGTGCAACTAGCTGTACACAACAAAAGGATGTGTTCAGTGCTGTTCCGAAGCAAAGTCCCAGCACCACTGTACGGCAGTCTCTGGGAGGCGCATTCTGTTTGCGGATGATGAAAGCTAAAGCATTTTCATGGGACATCATAGGAGACTGCAAACTTTCATTACTAACAATGTCAGGTAAAGACTGGCTGACCCCAGGAAAGGGTGAGGTAGAGCGGAAAAGATGTTAAAGAAAGGCAGGGTGAGGATGCTGACCCAAAACCCAGTCCAATTCTAAGGCTACGATACTGAGAAAGATCAGTGGCCTTAACTCAGTCTTGTAACTATCATTTTAGTTTTGGTTTCAGTAGATGATAAATGCTCGATCCTCACCTCACCTCACCTCACCTCCTTCCTCCACCTCATCTAAGTGGTTTGTTGCTGTTAGCATCATGCAGTCAGCTGACTCACAGTGACCCTGTGAACAACAGATCTGAACCTTGTGCTATCCTGCTCCATCCCCATCGTCTCTGCCATGCTTGTGCCCACTGTCACCACCACTGTGTCCATCCATCTCATGGACAGTCTTCCTCTCCTTGTCTGACCCTCCACCTTTCCCAGCATGATGTCTTTTCCCAAGGACTAACCCCTCCTGACAACACGCCCACACTAATGTGAGACAGTGTTTCACCAAGCTTGCCTCTAAGCAGCTCCTATTCGCACTTCCTCCAAAACACACTTGTTTATTCTTTTGGCAGCATAAAAGATACGCTTCTCTAACATCACAACTCAAAGGCACTGATTCTTCAGCGAAGAATCAGTGTGGTTAGGATGTACTTTTTCTGCCCAAGACAGGAGATGTTTTGAGCTAGAGAGAACTGTGCCAACATTGGTAAAAAATGACTTGTCTCTCAGGGCGTCAACCAATTTGGCAACAAGTACATCCAGCAAACTAAGCCCCTCACCCTGGAGTGTACCATAAACCTATACCCTCTTACCAATTACACTTTTGACACAAAAGAACCTCTATATGAAAAGGACAGCTCTGCTGCAGCCAGATTTCAATGCATGAGGGAAGAATTTGATAAAATTGGAATGAGGAGAACTGTAGAAGGAGTTCTGATTGTACATGAACACCGCCTACCTCATGTGTTACTGCTACAGCTGGGAACAACCTTCTTCAAATCACCTGGTGATGAACTTAATCCAGGAGAAGATGAAGCTGAAGGACTAAAACGCTTAATGACAGAGATACTAGGTCGTCAGGATGGAGTCCTGCAAGACTGGGTCATTGATGACTGAATCAGTAACTGGTGGAGACCAAATTTTGAACCACCTCAGTACCCATATATTCCTGCACATATCACAAAACCTAAGGAACATAAGAAGTTTCTGGTTCAACCTCAAGAGAAAGCCTTGTTTGCTGTTCCTAAAAATTACAAGCTGGTAGCGGCACCCTTGTTTGAGTTGTATGACAATGCACCAGGATATGGACCCATCATTTCTAATCTCCCTCAGCTCTTGAGCTGGTTCAATTTTATATACAACTGAATTCTGTGCACTGGCGAAGTAAAAGAAGCCGTCTCTGTGAGCACAGCTATCAACAGTGTAGAGTAAGAAACATGGTCATGGTCGACAAGGGTTGTTTTCCTCTTTCCTGATCCCTCAGTGCTCCCTAATGTCCATTATTTGAATAGTAAAGTTAATATGAGTAACTAGATAGTGCTGTAAACACATGTGATAATTTTAATTTACTTTTGGTTCTATTCATACTTTTTTGTACAACATTAAACAAGTGGACTTCTATTTGTATTTTTAACTTCACATTAAACTTTTAAAATTCTTAAAAAAAATGACTTGTCTTCTGATTCAAGATTCCCTATGGGCAGATGGCTGCTGGACAAGGGGCCATGTCCCTCTGCAGCAATTCCAACCCAGCGCAGACAAGCCTGCTCAGTGAGAGGGTGGAGCAACAGAATGGGGGACTTCATGCCACCCCTCCCTTCACTTGAGCACAGCTCCTTGTTTAGCTGAACCATCTGAAGAATGACTTCATCCAATCATGATTTTCTTCTTTATACATTCACAACTTCCTACTTGGGTCTTCATCTTACTTGAATCCACAATTAATACACGTGGTACCAGCACAGTCAGGAGATCAGGAGATACACTGCACTGAGAAAGTCCTCTCCAAATTGCTGAGAAGCAATGATGTTAGTTTGAGAATTAAGGTGCCCCTGATTCAGACCATGGTCTTTTCAATCACTTGCTATACTGGTGGGAGCTGGACGATGAATAAGGATGACTGAAAAAGAACTTATGCCTTTGAACTGTAGGGTTGGAGAAGAGCGCTGAATATTTGACTAACTGCCAAAAGAGTAAACAAGTCCTTTGGAGGATCAGAGAAAGAGAGGAAGACATTCAACACAATGGATTGACACAGTGACTTTAACAATGGATGTGAACATCAGAGACAATGAGAAGGGACAGGATAAGGTATGGTTTCTATCTGTTGTTCAGTGTTACTTTGAATCACAGCTGATTCAAGGACACCTAAACCACAATAACAACTGCCAGCTGACAGCCGTGTGGAGAAAGTTATTACAGAAGAGCATTATTATTGGTCTCCATGAGGCGTGACACAGACATTACCTTCATGTCCACAGAGGAGGCTCCCTGCAGCAGCGTCCACTCATACTGCATGATGGCGTGGTCATCGGTGCTCTCACGGCCATCCAAGGTCACCCCGTCTTCGGGCAGATGCACCACAACATCCTGCCCAGCGTTGCTAAGTGGAGGCGCATCATATTCTAGGAAAGAAAATGAATTATTCATAGAGAGAGGATGCCCTAGATTTTTTCCCAACTTATTGAGAGCTATCTTAAAATCAAAAGAGAGTAGACACACTAGGGAAATCTATCTGCATGTGAAGAGAGCTATTTAAAAATACTTATAAAAGGGGCTCTGACAAATAAATGAGAGAAAAGGTCGACAACTCAATTAAGAAAATGAGATGGATGGAAAATGCGACTGTCTAATGCATTATAATGGAGGAATCTAAGAGACAACCCAGCACAGTGTGCAGATCGCAAGATGGTCTGTGTAGAAAGCACACATGAAGAGATAGAATCGCATGTGCACAGAATGTTTCTGGAGGGACTCACCACACCCTCTAAGCAGTGGTGTCCTTGGAGCTGAGAGACAGGGAGAGTTTACTTTCTACTCTAAACACTCATCCTCATTTGAAAATAATGAAAAAAAAATTTGTTTTAACCTCCAAACTAATAAATAAAATTATTTATTTTTTTAATTTATTTTGTGCAAGTTGTGACACAGGGCACAAAATAATCATCTATTAGTCAACAAAAGGGGTGGGAAAAAGATATCTTGTTTGCTAGAACAGATGTTTTTCAACAGACAACTGCTAAGAGTACATTAATTAAAAGTTATCTCGTTTTTTGTTTTCACTCTGCTCTTTTCCTAATAAAAAGTAGCACACAGGAACATGACATTTAGCTGTCACGTGTGCAGAAGAGGCAGCATGAGGTGCAGCTGGCAGGAGCCGGGAAGACAGAAATGTGGGCAGAAGACAGTACTCTGGAGTCTCCACTCTAAAAGTCTGGAGACATTTTATTCTTTAGAGGAAATTTTTAATTTAGAAATGATTTATGCTCAAAGTTCTATGAAATGGATCAATGTTTGATAAAAAAGATACTTTAAACAAATAAGAAAATAAAGTCAAATTAATCCCTAATATATTGTCAGGTGTGTCAAATTGACTTCGACTCACAGTGACCCTACAAACAGCTTGAAACCTTGCCTTAAGACAGATTTTATTTTTCCCTTGTGCTCATATTTTAAAATCAGAACCAATAGAAAAATGTGTTATGGGAAATAAATTCAGCACAGAAAGCTAAGGTAAGTTCTTTGGTCCATGTTAAATAACATGCAGAAATTCTCTAGTATTTGGCTTTACCTCTAGGAAAACAGGTGAGGCTTACAGTTGCAGACAAGCTGTAAACATTTTTATGTGCTGACATATTGCGCTTCTGGTGAGACGTACTTACCTTTGGTCTAAAATGGCACTAAATAATTGAAGACTGATTATGCTCCCTTAAATATTAATACTTCACTGACAGCTGCAGTGAGGGTGGGTGGGGGCAAACTGTGTACAGAAATCATGTCTGAGAGCATACTTGCCTGAATGTTGATTTAAGTGTCTTACATTTATCCAGATGTATACATGTTTTTAAAAAAAGTTAACAATACAACTGGAAAAAATGCTGTAAGTTCTAATAATACACCTACATCCTGCCCAGGGAACTCTGACAGCCTACTATGCACAGCAATCCCTAAGGCACGTGGTTCGCATCCACTAGCTGCTCCGTGGAAGAAGCCTGGGCAAACTCTTCCTATGTGACTTGTTTATTGCCTTCAAGTCAAGCATGACTCATAGCGACTCTATGAACAAATGCTTGAAGCTCCTCTACAACTATCGATGTTTATCAAAGTTCATAGAGTTTCCGGAGGCATGTTGTTTAGGAAGTGGCTGCCACTGCTGCTTACTGCCTCTGAAAACCTGCTATGAGGAGGGCCAGCTATGAGTTGGTTCCAACTCAGTGGCACAACACAACAACAATGACTCCTTCCTTCGAGTGCCACAGCGCTGCTCTCAGTGCCGCCTGGGTCTGCTCATCTAACCCAGGATGGGGCTGCTGAGTCACTGTCTTCCTCCCTGCTCTGCAAGCTCACTGAGTTCCTTCTTCAGATGCTTTAGCCACAGCTGAATTTTCAATGAGCAAACATCTAAGGGCCAACTGAGATGTCCTGGAGCCTGAGCCTGGGGTGAGCTGCCCTCCTACAGTTTCTTCTCAGCAACAAAGACCACGAGGCTTGATCCAAGACAACTAGAATACCTTTCTGGAATTCTGGGATCACTTCCTTCCTCAAGAAAAACCCTTCAAGTCACTGTTACCTTTGGGTGTCCCAGGGCCCAGTCTCCAGCCTCAACTTCCGTTTTTGGGCCTCTTGTCAATGCCTAGCCACAGAGAACTTGTGTGGGGGCACACAGCACCGACAGGGGTGCCTTGTCTGGATGAGATGCAGGTGCTTTTGTAAGGCACGTTATGAAGAAGAAGAAGGACCTTTGTGGGGAGATGTGATAATGAGGATGTGTGTCTATAGAGAAGAGAAGACTCATCACTTACTGTCATTTAAAGCAGTGGGAACTAGTCACTGACTTAAAATAAATCAAGTAAGCAACCAGTTTAAGAAGAAACTTGTTCTTTTTCCACCTTTAAGTGAAGACCCAGTGAGCCGTGAGTCTCTCAAGTAAGGAGTGATATGACACCTGGATCATAAGTGCCCTTTTCCAGCACGCTGACCTTCTCTTTAGTTCTGAAAGATGGCTTTCTATGCAGCGGAGGTTCCAGCTAAAGTGAAGTTCTGATGACACCACTTTAATTCTGGAAAGCATCTTACAATTCAGCAGTTACACAGTGCAGTTAGCAGCTATTTATGGTAACATCTATTTTAAAGGACATTATTTTTTGCAAGTTGGCAAGCTAAAATACGATCCTAAGACACAAAAAGCAATGCGCAATAACAATAACTTGAAGGAAACATGCCAAAGAGTAAAGATGGGAGAATAAGGTAATACCTGACATGCTGAAAAATTCCTGGAGGAAGAGTGCATCTGTTTTAGCTACTGACTTTTCCCTGGATGAACTTCATGTTACGATTCATGAACATGACACCCTCGTATCCTCTAAAGAGACAACTAGAGAAAATGAAAGCACCGAAATATCCTTTTTCTGTTCAAGTCCAGGTGAACTACACTGTCAAAGATATTTCCATATAAGCCAAGGCTTATTTGGAAAAGTCTTAAAAGAAAACTAATGATAATAGGAAGAGGAAAGGTATGTGAGATCATTGGAAAAATATTTTTGCTGATGAAAACAAGACAAACACAATTTTGACTTTTCATCATAAGATAAGGTAATAAGCCAAACTAATTAGAGTGGAAACTCAGATATACTTTTAAAACAAAATGCACTTGGTAAGGTCTACAAAGATGACAGCCTAGCAAGGTGGCATTCTATACAGAGAAGAATATTGTTAACTAGCCTGCTCCACAGCGCTGCCCTGCAAACAGTCTCAGGGACAAGGAAGGGTTTCTAGAAGTGGGCTCTGTGCTACATGGGCACAAATGACACAGCTGAGAAATTAGAAGGGACCCGTGAAGTCAGTTCCATGACTAGAGCAGAGTGCTAGTGACACACACACCCCAACACACACCCATGTTGCTTGTAGAATTGACAAAGCACCATTCACTCTTCATCTTCACCACCACTCAACAATAGGGAAAATGCAAGCACTGAAGTGCCAGGAGTAGGAACGGGGACTCGTGGCTGGAGGGGCTTGTTTCAAACCTAGGCCTTAGAACGTCCTGCTTCCTGTTCATACACTAGTGTAAAGGGTGTGTGTGTGTGTGTGTGTGTGTGTGATACTTTCAAGATACGCTTTCAGCATCCTCCACTCATACCTGCAGTCCCGTAATGTCCCCGACATACACCTTGTCAGGCCTACCCGGGGAAATCCAACTCTGTTCCTCTCTGATTGCCTTGTGTTGCAAGGAGAGCCGAGGCCAGGCCCCATAACCTGGCTCCACACCACCGGCGGTGTGACCTCCGGTAAGGTGCTTTCCCTAACACACACTGGGAGATTACAGGCTGTCATCAAGCCAGCATCACTGAGCTGCTGTGGGATGGAGAGAGCTCATGCATTTGAAGAGCTTAGCACCAAATTCAGTAAATGTCAGTGATGAACCAGACTGATGGCTTCTTCTAGAGGTCTGTACTATTGCATCCCAGCTGGTCTCTCACCATTTCTCCATTATCTTCGTATATTACCTCAAATAACATCATGACAAATTCGCTGCAAGATGTTTTCGAAATCATGCCATGGACCTTTAACCTCACTCCACACGTTCAAAGGATTCAGGAAATCAAAGAAGCAAGTAAGAAAGGAAAACTGAGCAGTCTCAGAAGAGCAGGAAAATCAACAGACTACTCCCTGGGTGGGGACAAACAGGGCACTAGGGATATGACACTGCCCCCCCTCAGAGCCAAGGGAGAGTGACAGAGCCGATTTCCACATTTCCATGTCACTAGCCATCTGGAGAAGCACAGGCGTAGCAAGATGTTCTCAGAAATTAACTCGTACCAACCTCACAAGGGGACCTATTTTACCCCGACTCTGGATTAGCTGAAATTCCTAGGGAAGAGGAGAGGTAGGCAGGAAGGAAAAGAAAGAACAACTCAGAAACTTCTACCAGTAAAGGGAATTAATTTCTAAATACAGGTACTCTTTCCTTGTCATTCTTTTTGCCCCTGGTTTAAAGCAGAGTTCCTTCTGGCAACATCAGTTTCCCTTGAGAGTCGGTGAGAACACAGGAAGAGAATTTTGTTTCTGCATATCTGAGCACATGAGGTGGGGCTCAAGCATGCTGGTGGGGTTCCAAGTAAAGGTGTCACCTCCCCACCTCACATTTGAAAGAAAACTTCAGGGGCTACTTGTTCAAACACTCCTTCCCGGTGTCCACCTCCCAAGTGAGTATTTGCAGGGTGACCTTCTGATAGGTGGGGGAGGGAGGCAGGGCATGAGGAATAAGGACTTCCAGTCTCTTCTCATTAGACTCACAGGATAATGGAGAGCCTCCTGATTTCCAAAGTGGCCTCTACCTCCCCTTTCTAGTCATACTAATGATTTCATGACGTCACTCTTGTGTTATTACTCATCAAACAGCATC